AATTACCGACCAAAGTTGGTCGGTAAATGCTTCCCCTACATTAACCGACCAACGTTGGTCGGTAATTTTAAATATAAATTCTTAAATATTATAAAATATTTTAAATAATAAAATAATTATTAAAATTTAAAAAATTGGATTCAGATTACCGACCAACGTTGGTCGGTAATCCAAAATTTTCTTGTCTAACCAGCTGGGTCAATTCGTTGACCAATTTACCGACCAACGTTGGTCGGTATTTAGTTTTAAAAAAATATAAATTTTTTTTCCCAGTTTCCGTCCAACCTATACGGTTTTTGATCGCTTTTTTTGATCGATCAACGTTGGTCGGAAATAGTTGGTCGGTTTTTAGCAGATTTTTAATAGTGATTATACTTGACAAAGGAAAACAGATTCAAGTGTGAGGTACCTGATGGAATAATCACGTGAAACCTCCAATGCATATTAGAAACCTTATTCATTTCGAACTATCACATAAAACAAAATAGATATTACATATACATTAATAGTTGTGGTTTACAAAATACTAAATCACAAATGGGTGAGACTTGCATTAAACATGGCTTATTCCTTAAAACACAAATTTAACAACCGATAAGGACATAAAAGTTTGAAAATATAAACTAAAAGGTTCCCATTGGGAATGGTCCCTCGAAATAAATAGTGGCGAAATCAGAAATTTTTGCAAAGGTAAAAAGTGAAAAACAAATTCCTAACAAAGGATATTCAGTATATATTATACACCTCTAAAACCTAATATTTTTTCGACAAAGATCGGTCAATTGACCACCCTCCGAATAATGTACCTTCGCCCTTGGAAATAAGCTTCAAAGCCCTGCATGGAAGATAAAAAAGTAGAAGTCATAATCTTAATTTCAAGGAGGTAACATTTTCACAAAGATTTGAGTAACAATTAATGTGAAGAATCAAATAAAACTTACTGCGAAGTTCATGGATTTCGACCTTAAGGGAAGTATTTCACATGTCTTGTTGTTCTTGTTTAATCTTTCTTGCAGAATCCTCAGCAGTAGTGTTGCAATAATGTAATTCAATTGACTCCAAACTACAAATTTCCCCAAAATCTGTCGGAATTTGTTTGAGGCAGTGGCAATTATTGAGAACAAGGCGTTTTAGATTTGGGAAGTTATCACTGCTAGCTTCCCAATGATGAAAGAAAGTTGTAGTTGCAATTAACAAAAGCTTTAGGCTTTCGAACTTGTCTTCATCACTTAATCTCCATACGCCACCCTTGACTGCATTATATTTAAGTTTGAGCTCTTCAAGATTTGGCAACATGGCAAGAGTTGATATGTCTTTCCAAGGAAAACGGAACTCATATAAAGTCAACCTCTTAAGTGATGTTGGGAAAACAAACATCTTGATGGAGATAGGTTTCGGAACATCATACTCCCAACACTTCAATGTTACGAGTTTTGTCAAGTTGGACATATCGATGAGGCGATTGGCCATACCCTCTCTCCTAGATGAAATTTCATAGACAACCAATCTCTTTAAATTGGGAATGCGAGAAAAGACTTCAGTTGTACAACTTAAAGAACAGAGACCAGAAAGTTCCTCTAGATTTGGCATCCCTATCACAAGATGATGTTGATCTCGAATACTAAATGTATATGCCTCAAGTTATTCATCACCCATATCTTCCCTGGTGAAGTTGTAAGAAGTCTACCTTTTCCCCCATGATTAATTAGAGTTTGCAAATTCTGAAGCTCTGAGATTGATTCAGGAATATCGCCTGAAAAAAAAACTTGGAGATATCTCAAATGAAATAACTTTGTGATCTCGAGTGGAAATGTACGGAACCTTTCAACTTTATTGAAGATCGCCAACACCCTGAGAAGCTTGAAACGGGAGAAAAAATCACGTAATATATAATGACGCCGGGTTATGCGTGCAATGCCCAGAAGGCTGTCAAGAAACTCGTAAAAGGGTAAAAAAGTTTCCATTGATGTAGAAAATACATAGATAGATCTGGCAACAGGGGGTAATAGCTTACGACAAGCATCAACTGAATGGTGTTCGGTTTGAAAACTGAAGCGACGGACAATGTGCTTTTCTTTTGGAAGAGTAGGGACGGGTAGCTCATCCCTCTCCATATGCATAAACTTTGTCATTTTAGCTTCTATCAAACAGAATTCACGCAGTAGATCATGCATTCCACATGTTCTTATTTCACCGTTGAATCTCCTTTTTATAGCCATTATCAAGTTTCGTTTAATAATCTACTGCCACTTCCTCCAACCTTTTAACACTTCCAGACGTCCTTATAAAACCTTCCGCAATCCATAATTGGATCAATCTCCAAGTCTCAACCTGAAAATCCTCTGGGAAATCACCCATAGAAAGAAAGCAAGGTTTGAGGTGATTAGGCAAGTGGTGATAACTCAAACCGAGCACTCCTAAGCATTTATCTGGTTGACTAGCAACTATATCACCTAATGTTCGGGCAACATCCTTCCAACTTTCTAATGTCATGTCCATTTTAGAGAGATGCCCTGCAATCACTGAAATTGTCAAGGGTAGTCCTTGGCATTTTTCTACTATTTTCTTTCCAATTTTTTCCAACTCAGGAGGATAATCCTTTTCTGGTCCAAACACCTTATCACGAAGTAACTTCCAACTGTTTTCTAAAGTCAGGAGGTTCATCTCATGAGAGCTACTAGTATTTGCATACATCGCTACCTCTGTTTCCCTAGTAGTCAATAAGATTCTGACTCCCATTGTTGTAATTTGGAAATATTCCTCTTATACTATCCCAAACATCCCTACTCCAAATATCATCAACAACAACAAGGTATCTTGGACCCTTTAGGTTTTTCTGCACTAGGTCAGGTAACTCACAGTCATCCATAGTATCATAATCATTTACTTTGACAATATTTGTTTGTTTCGAAATGCAATGTAAAGCATCTAACAACACATTTCTACTGCGATATTCTTGAGATATTGTAACCCAAACACGAATGTCAAAATGATACCTGATTGGGAGATTATCATAAGCTTTTCTAGCGAGCGTTGTTTTACCAATGCAACCCATGCCAGATATTGTGACAATGTCTAGATCCGACGGTGGTCCTGTCAATCTTTTAACTATGATCTCCAAGTCATCATCAAGTCCCTGCACGATATCATCTTCCAAATTTCCCAGCATTAGATTACTTCTAGAAGAAGTGCCAATCCTGGAATCTAGAGTAGATTCAAGAATTAGATTATCATCAGCGTCATGAGTACTTGTGCTAAAATCGGAAACAATTTCCATCAATTCTTTCTTTGTTATATCCATTTTTTCAACAATTGGGAGCAAATCCTGGTGTTGTAAAATTCCAAATGTCCAGCTTAAGCCTCTAATGATTTGAAAAATCTTCACCTCAACAACATCTTCTGCATCACTAGCAGCAACTCTTATTTTTTCCTCCAAAGATTTGATTTTTTCAGGGTCAAACCTACTCTTGCTAAGTTTTTCAAGGACATTTAGAATATATTCAGCAGTAGCACGAAGAGATTCGAGCGTATTAGCAGTTTGATTATGAAAGAGTTCTGGGTTTCGTTGCTCAAGAGTTTGAAGAAGAGAAATTACAGCAGCACTAGCCATCAAATCAAGAATCAGATTGTGGAAATGATAGCAAGAAGAGAAAATGACTTGGAATGTATTTATTGCCAGGTTAATATGGAGAGGAAAGGACAAAAGAATTGTTAGAGTATAGAGGATTTAATAAAAGATATCAAATACGCTTTTTTGTTTTGTGGGATTATATTAGAGAAAAGAAAATAAGGAGATAGCACAAAAGTTTTCACTTGGAAAACCCTTCACAACTAAGAAAAAGTAATAAATTTAAAAGATCAAAATCATATAAACATAGATAAAGAAATTCAAAGTTAACACTCGAGTATCACAAAGTTTTCGAACACTTTTTGTAATATCCCAATATAAAAAATGCACAGCTCTTTAACTATTTTTCGCTCAAATTATAGTATTAGTCTATGTGACTTGATATCCAAAATGAGGTGGAGTGGGTGACCCCTATTTATAGCGGAAGGATAATAATGTAGGCTGCCTTGGGTGCGTAAATGTTTAACGGGCAAATATCACATTCCCGAAACTATTTATATTTAGTAGTCGCACACATTTATAAAATTTATATATTTTTTATATATAACGTAATAATATATATATATATATATATATATAATAAAATATTTATTTATTCGACTATTATTTTAAGAGCAACTATACAATATCATTTTTCAATTTTTAATCCCATAACTTGTTGTATAAGACCCTACCATGTTAGTGTTTATCAATAAATTATTTTGACGTACTAAAAAAAGATAAGTCATTGCCCGTGGAATCAGATCTGTTAAGATATGTTGAAGAGTAGGAACAATAAATACTTTATCCATTTTCATTTGATTAAAGTTTTTTAAAATATTTTCTTTCTTTTGATAGACATTTTTTTACCTGACTAAAACACACCAATTTGTTTATTTGGCTGCTAAGTAAATAAAAAATGTGAACTGCCTTGGATAGTTGGATGTGGCAATTTTTTTAACCCACAACTTGTTGTATAACAACCTTGAAATTTACTAGTAAATTATTTGACTTCGTTAGAAAAACGAAGTCAATGCCAGTTGGGTGCGTGGAATCAGATCGGTCGACTTATGTAGAGGAGTAGGTATAAAATTCTCCCATCCATTTTCATTTGATTAATGTTTTCTTTAATATTTTTTCTTTCTTTACTATTTATTTAAAATGCACCAATTTGTTTAATTGCTTTGATTGGAGTAAACAAGAACATCTTTACAGTTGACATAACGGAGACAGTATGTTGTTGTGTGGTGTTGGTGGAGATTCGTTTAATAGCTAGTGCTCTAAAAGGCTTTCTTTGGACTCGCCCCGACATATTGTAAATGCCCTGATGCTTACTTGGTGGGCTCAAATCTTGCGAGGCTTATACGCCAAGTGATACATGTCCTATTATGCTCTCCAAGCACGTCCGACGCTCAGGACTCGTTAATTTAATTTACTCCGACTGCAAAACCCCTCGAGGCTTATGTAGGTTCAGGTGTGACTCGACATAATATGGGGGCCTAAGGTGAAAAGAAAAAGTGAGGTTTAAATTTTTTAAATTATTTTTTACTCTTATAATTTATCGAAATCTAAAGAAGTTATAATCGGTTTTAATTATTGTCATTGTCTAACCAATTTGTTTAATCTCTCTTGTGTTATTATGTTGAACTTTATTGATTTAGTTTTGAAACAGTTTTTCAACCGAGGCAACTAATATAGAAATTATTAACAGTAATTGAATTAATATTTTTTATCTGGTTGAGTTTGCCAATTAGAGTATTCTTCTACTTATACAGTTTCTCTTAGCACTTTTAATTCTAAATATAAGTTGAAACAAATAATACTGTAGTAACTACTATATTTCAAGAGTCACTCAATGTTAAGAACGAAATTTAACAGTTACTTATCAAAGTAGCTTGAAAAATGTCTACAAAAGCACTCAAAGAATTAAGAAAAAACTATTCTAAACTAACATTGTAAGAAGATCGATTTAAGTTGCGACGAATTAAAGACAAGAAACAACTAGTAACTACAATTTAAGATATGTATAACTTTTAACTATAACTATTTTAACCAAATAATTTAAAACTTCTATAATGCACAATTATTAAATATTATATGTATTATTTATAAATTTTGAGGTCCTAAATATTTTGTGGGCCTAAAGCCATTGCTTTAGTGGCCTTAGGCTCCAGCCGGCCCTGTGTAGGTTGTTTACATTAATGACAATACAACTAAAGATCTTGATAGCCTTATGGAAGGGCTAATAGGAAATCGAAAATGATCTAGAAATGCATACTAAATGTATATGGTGTTAAATTCAACCAAGCCAAAGTTATTCGGGGCTTGTTCTGCCCAACCTCATATTATTTTCGGTCTCTTTTCTCTCATGCTTCAAGTACTTTTAAATCTATATCTTTATCTCTCTTGCGGATGAAGTATTTTTCTCCCACCATAGTACCAGAAAACAGACGTAAGAGGAATGTTAAATAGCATAAATAGGTAAAAGTTAAAAATAATTCACTACTAAAAAAATAGTTGTTTACCGACGCAGCAGTACCGACAGACTTTTTTCCATTGCTATTCCAAGGGACTTTCTGTTGGAGTCCCTCGCTACTTTTGAACTTTTTAATTTTTAATTTTTTTAAAAAATAACTGACGGACAACGCTCGGTAAATAATGATACTCTGACCAGTTAAAATTTAATTGGTCGTACCGATGCACTCTGTCGGTAATTTACCGGCGGACTCTCTCACAATATTTTGTATTTATTTTTTAATTATTTTTTAGATACTGACGGTGTCTCTCGGTGCATTTAAAAAAAAAAGATATCGACATACTCAATCGCTATTGCATTTACATAATATTTTAAATTTTGTTCTTACAGTTGCGATGGACTTACGTCGGTAATTTAAATATATAATCTTATACATAATTATTTTGTATTTTTTATTACACAATAGGTAGGGAGGTCGTCGGTAAGTCCCTCAGTAAGTATTTACTTAATTATCTTAGTGGTGGATTAGCCTATTTATTGAAATTTACACTAAGTGGAACTGTATTCATGGTGATTACACTACTTAAAAATATATTAGTGATAATTAGCTTAGTAATTTACAATTACACAAAGTAAAAGTGAATTTGTAGTATCCTTAACTACATTGATTAACCTATACATTAATAATTACATACTAAGAAGAAGTATATTAGTCGTTTCCGAAAGAAATATTAGTGATGGTTTATCTTATAAATTGATAATTATTGTAAGTAGAAGTGTATTAACGGTGTCCTTAAGTAACGTTAACAATTGATTATTATGCACACTGAAATATACTAGTACAATTTTATATATTACTACTAGCAAAGATTACATGCGTTTCACTAATGTTTGAGAACATATATGAAGCAAATGTTTACTATATAAAGTGTGTAGTTGTGGAAATAATGTTTTCATGTTGTATAGAAACTATATCTGTGATAAGTATTAGTAATTTGTAACTTGATAATTTTTTTCCACTTCTCTTTTGTGGATTACAAGGTATTGGGACATCCGCCACCGTGCAAAGTGAGGACCTTGAGGAGATACGCTACTAGAAATTCAGCAAAAACCGACCAACTTTGATCGGTCAAAAAACCGACCAAAGTTGGTCAGTTTTTCAAAATATTTTTTTTTAATATTTTTTACGAAATCGACCAACTTTGGTCGGTTTTCTTTGGTGCAAAAATGCGGAAAACTATTTTTGAGTCCCGCGAAATTTATTTTTCAAGAAACCGACCAACTTTGGTCGTTTTTCAATTAAAATAAATAAAAAATAATATTAAAAAAATCGACCAAAATTGGTTGGTTAATTTGGCCGGTCATTTTAAAAAACCGACCAACTTTGGTCAGTAATTTTATTTTTTAATAAAACCGACCAAAGTTTTCGTGCAAAAATATAATTAAAGAGTATAAATCAAATAAAAGACAGTCTTAAAATAAAATGCACCAATGGTCTAGTGGTAGAATAGTATTCTGCCACAGTACAGACCCCGGTTCGATTCCCAAATGGTGAATCTTTTGATTACATAATTAAAATACCGATCAACTTTGATCGGAAAAAACCGACCAACTTTGGTCAGTTATTTTTTCAATATTTTTTTTAAATTTAATTGACCGACCAAAGTTGGTCGGTATGCCTTTCCGACCTCTAAAATACTGTCCATACGTAAATGGTCGCGTTTTGGACGGTTATTGGCCATTACCGACCAAAGTTGATCGGTTTTTACCGGATTTCTAGTAGTGACAGCGAACGATTCAATAACTTTCTAGGAACTATGCGGATGAACGAGAAAAAAAAAGGCATGAAGAGAAGAGTAGGACCGCACTTAGGAATGACATCGAGTCCCTCAAGGCTCAAGTGAACTACTTAATCGACCTGCACATTTATGAAGAGGATGAAAGTGATGGAAACAATATAAATGATGAAGAAGATTAGGGGGAATCCGAAGATGAGGAGTGATTTTATGTTTGGTTGGATTGTTGTTCAGTTGGATGTTAACTTTGAATATTACATTTTGAAGTTTGGTTGGATAGTTTTGATGTTTGATGGGATAATTTGGATGTTTGGATATTTTATAAAGTTTTATTGTTGTTAATTTGTGTTTTATTTTGGTTGCATTTCTGTTTCTATCGTAATATTCTGGCTGACATTTAGTGCAACAAAAAATAAGCATTGTCTGCCAAAGATATATCAGATTTACCGAGGGACTTACTGACAAAGTCTGTCGGAAAAATTATTTATTTGTCAATCCAAAATTCATACTTACCGAGGGAGTCTGTCGGTAGACTTAAAATAATTTTTTAAATCTTGTTGAACATACCGACGAATATCCATCGGATATTTTTAATTTTTAAATTACTAAATTAAATTTCTAAATATACCGATGGTATCCATTGGTATTATTAAATTATTATTTTTAATTTACGGACAGACAACTGTCGTTATTGATATTATATTATTTTATAATATACCGACGGATATCCGTCGGCAAGTAAAATTATTTGACCAAATAGTGTTAGAAAGGTACCGATGGCTTTCCGATGGGGTCCATCGGTAATTACTGAGGGATTCTATCGATCACTTTTACCAAGAAAATATTTACCTACGTACCACTTACCGACGGACTTCCTTCGGA